TTCCTGCATAATTTGGCGCCAAATCGTTGTGGTTGCAAAGAAATCCGACGAAACTTGTACCGGTAAACGTCATGCTCAATATCAACAGTACGACGACTATTGTCCTGTAGCAACCGATATAAGCGATAATAAGGAGGGAAATGCAGGGTGGGATGCTACCTGTGAAAGTCAAGATTAAGAAACATTGTACGTTGGATACAAATTTTAAGTAACAGATATAAAAAAAAAAAAAAAAAAAAAAAAAGAAAGTAGAGGAAAATATATCATAACGTTGGATGTATGACATAGAGAGAGAACTTGCTTAAAAACATTACGATCTTTCGCGCCATTGTCTGATCCCAATAATTCCTCAGTCTGCCCCAATCCAGTATTTCTCCCAAAATCGGATTCACTATTGCGCTTAAGAGATACGGCAAGCAACTTAGAACTGCGTTCTGGTAATTACCAAACGACATTCGATATTGACGAATCATATAATTATAAAGCAATGATTAAGTCATTCCATAAGCAATTAATATTTATTTATTGATAAATTATTCCAAAGTTTCAAATCAAAAAACAGAATGAAAAAGTTCTTATGGGATGGCGTAAAAGGAGAAGAAATTCTAAGAAAATTGAATGATAGACTCACAGACTGAATGTCGAATCTCAGAATCTTGTTCATGTACAAGGGTAGCTGCGTGAGCAAGAAGTACCAGACAAAATTTCCGAATAAATTGGTGAAAATCAGGGCCACAAATGGGACCGACGTGAAAATGGCTTTCCACGGTACCTTCATGTCTATCGATTCAAGGCCACGATGCCCGTACGAGCTTGTGATGTACTCTCTCTCCTCCTTTGTTATGTACACTTGAGTTTCCGGATTATCGCTGAAGAACATGTAGAATACAAAGCACCAGATTAACGGAAGGAAACCGTGTATGTAAAAGATCTCCTTCCATCCGAGGGCGTGCAGTATCATTCCGGACGTCAGGATAGAGATCACCGTGCCAATCGATATGCCGGAATAAATAATACCGAACCATAAACTCTTCTCCTCGTAAACGATCCATTTCCCAACAAGGATAGAAACGATAGGAAGATTCGGTGCGCTCACGACACCCATCACGAATCTCGTAAGGTAAAGTATCCACAACACCGGCGCCACTAATGGCACTATAATCGTAAGAATCGCGTTTCCCAATACGCAGATCAGCAGAACGGTCTTCGTGTTGAAACTGTAAGATATCGTGTTTTACAAACTATCGTTTGCTTAATAATATTTCGTGTATTTTTATCAATGAACGTTTATCGAGTTGAATATAAATCTAAGATTTTGAAACAAAGTAAAGAAATTTTTTTGAATTGAATTTTGTGTCTTACAAGAATGTACAGGAATAAATAATATCGAAATAATTTAGGGATAATGTTTACGAGAATGAAATTATTTTTTTTTTGTTTTCTCGAACGAAAAACGGATTGTAACTTGAGAAATAAATATCACTGTAATAGCACTCGTGACATTTAATGGAATTTTGAAATTTATTTTTCGAGTATAGCCATTTTATTCGTATTCAACCATGCGGGTCACTTTTGATCCATTTTTTTTTTTTTGATGTCGTAAATAATATATTTGAATGAAAAATAAAACCCCTTCGAACGAAGTTGGAAGCTTAAGCTTACTCGATTATTTAATTATTTTCGACTTTCACTTACCGATCTGCGAAATATCCGCATGGAAACATGCCTACTAAATAACCGATGAAATAAGAACTAATAACAAAACTTTGTTGCGTCGAAGTCCATTTGAACGGACCCTCTATATCGATAATTTGGGCTATAGGTTCAAAATCACATTCCTCCGACGCGTCGTTTTTCTCATCTTTATATTTAATCATGCCTACGATAGCTACGGTTATGTTAACTTTCAGCCCGTAGATGATCATGTTCGCGATGCAGATCATTAATGCAAATATATATCTCACGTATCCCACTAGTGTTACAAGAAATATAAATTGTATGTAGATAGATTTTGTTTCAATGAGAAAAATATCGTTGAGTTAAAAGTTTTTAATTTCTTCTTGAAAATTACTTTTGATACCTTAATTAGGTTAACTTTAATTTGTACATCATTCTCAAAAAAAAAAAAAGGGACTTTTTTTTTAAAAACTTTCACATAAAAATTATATTAAACAATAAAAGAAGAATCTTTTTTTACCTTCTTATTATTATTGTATAATAATAAAGATAAGTGTATTAAAATTAATTGTTTTGAATACTTAATAATCGATTTCGATGCAAATATTAAAAGAAATTTGTTCTCGCTAACCCATCTCTTTGATTTATCTCATTAATATGCCCTACGTTTCTCATAATATCCAGTAGAATAGAGTTGCATGTCTATTTTCTTATTGATCGCGAAAATCGGTCTTCTCATACATGCACCGATTCGTCGACGTTTATCGAATTATGGTTAACGATGAAACCGACTGAAGTGTACTAAAGATGTGACTATCAATTATTAATATCGATACCTTATTGATATCTAATGATATATCGTTATAATATTCTTAAGAACTTGTTTTTTTTTTTCTTTTTCATGTGAAAATTTCGCAGATTATCAAACGCAAACTTCACGATTTAATTGGGATAAGATTCATCACATGGTGATAATATTTTTGTATCCATCCATTTAATTAATCGATCTTCATTACGGATCGTCTCGTGATAGAAAATAAAGTTTTCTTATTTGGGAAAAGAATTATAATAACAATTAATATTAAGATCATGATTTAATGAGTTGAAAAATTGTGTATAATTCTTATTTTTGTTTTTCGAAGATTCTTCAATTTTGATAATATTACGTATGCAATTTTGGAAAAGAATAATCTAAGAAAAATCTTATAATGATTCCTTTTTTTTTTTGATTTTATTTAAATTTATTATAACTATACGATCAAATATTAATTCTCAAAAATTATTTATACAACAGAATTGCTTAAATTTTTAATGGTAAATTATTTTATTACATATTTATCTATCATAAAAAGAAAGATAAAATTTCCTGTTATCCAATGAAGATAGTTTCTATAATTTTATATTATCGATATCGTTACTAGAATAAAAAAGAGAACTTTTATTAAAATAAATATTTATTATTTTTCATATACATATACGTAACAATAATGTGAATAAAATAATTAAAAGTTTCAAAGATTACAATAGAAAAGAATAATACTTTCAATATCATTTCCTGTAAATTTGACAATCTTGCATATTCTTTTTTTTTTTTTAGATACGACATTCGATAAATTTACATTTTATTATTACTACTAATAAATCTTATTAATTGTCGTATCCGAAGAGAACAATAATCAGAAAAATTTATATAATAATAATATTAGTAGAAATGCATTTTTCATTAAATGGTATACAATAATAGAATCATGAATATAGGCATTAAAAATTAGGTTCGATTTATTCGATTATTATCATTTATTCCCTCATAATTCCATTCTTGAATCTCTGCCGATCCAAAAATGATGAATACAAAGAACGCGATCATCTGTGCAATAATAGGCACCCAAAATGCGTATCTCCATCGTGCCATAGTGTGCTACGTTTATAAATATATTGGATTAATAAAGATGAAGAAATAGTTTATATATTCGTGATAATTATTAAATCATGTTAATTATCAGAAAGTCTTTGACGTAATGGAGAAGAACAATCAGATAGAAGTATTAATATATTTAAAAAAAAGGAAGACACTTTGAAATTAATTACGAACATCGATTCAAATTATTTAGAGCGCAAAGGATCGAAAAGTCCGATACAAAAAAAACATAATGTTACATAAATCGTGAGAAGAATGTGGTTGAAGAAAAAAAAATTTCAAGAAATGAGTTCTTACATGTAGAAATATGCGATAATCTGAAAATTTCGGGTATTCGAATTAGATTATCGATAGTATCTTATAATACGTAAGATTTCGAATCGTATCTCGAGCTTTGTCGAATACTCGATCAGCTTATAAACGTGTATTTCTTTCATAATTGCGTTCCAAAAATTTATCCTTGAAAGGAATACTACAACTCTAATTTCAAAAATCTCAAATCTCGACACAATGGGATTAAAATCAGAATTTCTCTTTCCGAAATATCTTTTCTAATTGAATATTACAATTAAATAATTCTTTTTCGAAGTTGATGATCGACAAATTGTAATTATAGATATATATTCAATGAGAAAGTGATTTTTAATAAAAATTTCATTTCCAATTCCTCTAGTTTTTATTCGTATATTATTACTTGCTATCTATGATTATTCGATCTGACCCGACCCGATATTTTCCGGTTCTCGCACACTTCCGGTTTCATCTCTTACCCCCTCTTCCGTAAGTGCGCCCACTATGGCGGGCAAAATGAAGGCTGGAAGTGTCCCTGGAGTATTCGTTATACCCATT